ACTAAAAAGGTTAATTATGTATATTATGATGAGGTAGAAGAGACTGAAGATTCTGAAGAAGAATACATAGAAGAATATATATTGGAAGAGAAAGAGGATCACGAAAAAGAGGAAATAGAAGAAGATGATGATATCGAATATGTTGAGTATATTGATGATAGCGAAACTTGAAATTGTAATGTTGTAAAAAAAAAAGTGGTGTGAAGTGGAGTACCTATGAAAAAGAAGTCTTCTACTTCCAAATCTCATGCTAAGAGTGCTAAAACAAAGAGAGCATCGGGCAATATAATAATGGCCATAGAACAAATGAAAAAAATAGCCTTAAAATCTATGGTATTATCAGTAGTCCCACATTGTCCTAAGGAGATTTTTGTAGAAATTGCGAAATTTCTTAATATGATATATCTCAAATTAAAAGACCATTGCTTGAATACTGTTATGCCAAATGATACCTTTAAAAGAAGGGAGCTAGCATGGGAGAATGTTAATAGCTATATTCAAGATGTTTTATTACCACTATTACAGGCAGTAAATACTAAGCAGAAGCTCCTTTTAGATGTGATGGAAAACTCATGTGAAGTGTCTCATAACCCTGTTCTATCTCCTTCTCAAACTATTATGAAAAAAGAATCTTTGTCAGATAATAACTATTTAGAAGGCGGACATATTTTGAATCATGCTATTAAGGCATATGCATAATGTCACTCAGCTGAAAAAAAAATAGACAAATATATTGGCCCAAGCGCTTAGAGATAAATTTTTTACAAATAAAAGATGCTGATGATGTTGTGACTATTTATTGTAAGATAGGAGGTTTAGAAATACCTTGTGCAATGATTGATACTGGTTCTGATTCTTCCATATTTTCAGATAACATTGCTGAACTTATCGAAGAGCTTTTAGGAATTAAAATTAATAGAAAAAAAATTCATAGGCTTAATGGGGTCACAAGTCAATTCATATTCATTGGCACTATAGATAATGTTCCCATAATAATTAGTTCTGGAGAAAATACAGCCTCTATAATAGATGAATTTTCTGTTGTACCTGCGAAAAAAGATCAGAATGGAAATGCTAAATCTTTAGTAATTCTCGATACTCAATGGCAATATCGTGCTGGATGGGAGCCTTTAATAAAAGAAGAATTTAAGGCTACATGTAACGGAAAGACTATCACCATCCTTCTATCAGTTCACAAATCCCAGCGTAATGTCTTTATTGGAGAGAAGGAGGCAGAACCTATAAAAAAAAACTAGCTGATCAGACATGTCAATACTGTAAAAAGGAGTTCACATATCCCTATTTATTTTTACGTCATAAAAAAACTAAATGTTGGATTAATGGTAAGTCTACATCAAGCAAAGTCAATCAAAGTAGAGTTGAGTCTATATCAAACAAAGTCAATCAAAGTAGAGTTGAGTCTACATCAAACAAAGTCAACCAAAGTAGAGTTGAGTTTACATTTGAAAAAAATACTGTATCTATTCGGCTAAGCATTGCCTAAACACGTATATTTTTTTCAAATATTTAGATTACTCTTTGCATCTTTCCGTTTACTAGTCCAATATTCAGTGTCATAATGTGAAAAATATGAACTTGATTCTATTGTCACATCACTTCCAACATGAGGGTTATAAGAAATAATCTTATCATTAAAAGTAATAATCTTTAAGTCCTTAGCAAAGATAACATCCTCCAAATCTTTATATACAGACTCAGCAGTCTTCTTTATATCCTATTTTTCATTCTTAAGCTGGGAAATAGTAGAGGATAACTTGCCAATCTCCCTATCTTTTATGATTATAGATTTGTCTAAAGCAGAGATACGAGATTTATATTGCTTCTCTAGCTCAGCTGAGCGTGAATTATACTGGGATTCCAATTGATGTTTAAATGAATATGTCTTTTATTTCATATCTACCATGCAATTATTATATTCACTCTCTTTGCGAGCTACAAAAGCATTATATTCATCTTTTAGACATTTGTGTTCCTTAGCAACTTGAGTCTCAATAGTATTCTTGATATTAATCTCCTTTTATTTTAGAAAAGCCTCACGCTCCTTCAACTGCTTCTCGAATCCATCTAATCGGGAAAAAGTAATAGTACCATCAGTGGAGGTATTTGCTTCGATCTTAATCTTCTGGCGATTTTTACTCTTATAGTACCTATTAACATTACTAGTGAGCAACTCCTCTATATCTGGACGAATTCCTCTAGCCTGTTCCTCAGATAGTGGGTTATTTTTGCGGGTTGTAAGTCGTAACCATGCATCTTTTTTTAAGGATTGGGGTAATTGATCAAGCAAACTATTATAGTGTTCATTGAAATGTGGTTGGCCAGACATATAGTATCTTCAGTAAAGTAATATTAATCGAAAAAAAATATTTCAAAAGTTCAGAAATTTCAGAAATTTCATATTTTTTCAAAAGTTTGGGTATTTCATTTAATTTCCAACAATAATTTCTGCCTAAAATTGACTAAAATTTGCCGAAGTCTAGTTTTCAGAAAAAATACTTAAAATATTTTCAGAAAATTCCTCCAAAAATTTACTTTATTAATAATATATCTTATAAAAATACATGAATGAAATCGAATTCTAATCTATGAATTTTTGGGGGTTGAAACCGTAACTGCCATTTCGCTAGAACTATGTTCACTATCCCCAGAGTCAGAACTATATAATATTTTGTGAATCATACATGCAAATTATATAGCATAAAAAAAGGAAATTAGTTGGGATAGTTAGCATTGCTAACCAGTCGAAAGTAATAGTCAGAATCAGTTAGTTAAACTACTGTGATTTCTATTCCATCCCTCAATCTTAATACAGTACCTTTTGGTTGATTAAGATGGTTTAAGTTATTTTGTTTTGCATATCGAGACGAGATAAATAGTTTGTTTGGAGAAGTCAGCCTCTTTGATTTATCGATCTGCTGGGTGAATGCTGTTTCCTTTTGATAAAATTTATTTTTGTAAAAGGATTTATCAAAAGCTTATTGCTTAACCCTTTCACATCCAAGATCACTTAAAGGATCGGAACATTCTTGGTCCCAATGCTCCTGCACCATATCCTTAGCTTCAATCAATTCAATGAATCTATGCCATCCATGGTGGTATGATTTGGTTGGCTTTATTTCATTAACTTGAAATGGTTTCCAGCAACGAAAGCAGATTGCCATATTGTTTTTATGGATTTTAGGACGATAATAAGAATGATATGATTCATCAAATTTGCCTTCACCAAATCCTGCAAACAAGCAGAAACTATGGTATATACTATTTTCATTTCGTGATAATAAATATTGGAGAGTACTTTTAACTCGTAATCCCCACTGCATTGGAGATTCTCCCTTTCTCATTATTGACAATTTGTCATAGATTTTTTCATTAGCAAGGAATTTTTTGAAATCGATGCCACTCCAGTAATTTCCGAGATATATTCTATAATATTCCATATCATATCCAGGATGATTACTGACAGGCTTAGGTAACCGCCATTGTTTTTTATCAATAATCATATTAATGGGAATAGCACTTGCCAAGGTAACAACCGTCATATTTAGCAAATTATATTGATTTTATTGATTTATAGTGTTTTAGCGATTTCAATGATTTATAGCAGTTTGTAACAAGTATACTATAATAAATATCAGATTCATTTTTATTCGATTACAAGCATATCGGGAGGTTTATATAGGCTCATATCAGAGGCTAAACTAATTTTATATTTACATGCGGTTTGCGGATCTCTCGTGATTATCAGGAATTAGCCGAAGGGATTTTTCATGATGTATAACATAAAAATTTGTATTACGAGATCTCCCCTAGTTTCAGTTCCTCGAGAGTTCCAGGCGCTGACAAGTTTCTATAAATCATGAGATGATCGACCAATCAGATTCGAGACCGGCCGTAATTATTTTATATTGGTTTGCAGATCCCTCATGATTTTATTTAATCGATAAGCAGTCATACAGCATTTACAGATACACAGCGATACACGGGTTGATACATATGAATTAAAAAGTAGAAAGGTCCGACGTGGGCCAAGAAAAACTTTATTAGTTAATTTATGCTAATCATGCTTTAGCCGTTAAGGCGCTACGCACAATACTACATATAAAAAAAGAGCCAAACTTTGAGAAGCGGACATCGTGTCCTCATCTCAGAATTTATATATCCCGTGACTACTGCACTGAACCAGCGCATTCCTGCTAATTTTGTCTAGTATTCTTCCTAACTTGAGATGCAACGTATTTGATATCATCATCACTTAATTTTGAAATAGATGTAGCTGAAATTGACTTTATTCGTTGGATGAACAGCAACCGTTGAGTCTTATCATCGCTAATACGAAAAAAAAGATCATAAACCTTTCCCGCCCTGTCTGATTTCTTTCGGACAGCACTTCTTGTAACCTCTTTAGGAAGCTGATCTTTAACCGCATCATAGAGCTTCTTTTTTGCTTCATGTTCCTCGTTATTAGTTTTCCTATAGTGAGCGAGACGTTTCTCTAACTCCTCCCCAAAGTAGTAGTATGCGAATATCACTTCATTACGCGCTTTTTCACTTCTCTCCTCAGCATTGGATATTTTTAAATATAGGTCAAAAAGGGTTCGATCACTCTTAACTTCACGTACAGCCTCTCTATGGAGTCCTTTCTTTTCTTTAATTTCCGAAAGGTGAGTAGTGTCGGAAGATAACTCCCGGATAAGCTTTTTTAAAATGTTAGAGTCTTCCGGTTGAATATATTTCTTAGATTTCTTGCTGGCTGAAGAATCTGTATCTTCATTAGCCCGTTTCTTCCCTCCACTGTTAGAATCTGACCGAGCTGATTCTTCTTCCCCGTTCACGTCCATTTCTTCTTCTGAAGGTAATGACGGATCTTTATCATCGGCCACACCACATGAGCATAATAATACTCCCCTCTTATCAGGTTTTCCCGCACAAGTCCGATGGATCATATCGCCACAAACATTTATAACGAGCGACCTAGGTGGGTCTTCTGTTAAAATAGGCTTATCACATTCTTGACATACCTCACAATCCTGGATAGTATCATTGGATTTAATAGATGAAAAGTCTGGTTCTTCACGAAGAATATCTTCTGGGAGATATTTTAGTATACTCAACGCAAGGGATTTAAGGGATCTGTCACGATTCGGTTGTACTTTGTAAATATCACTGCTTTGGATGTTGTCGGTTTGATCTTCCGTATCTGATTCCTCTGGCTCCTCCATATTGTTATCAACAGGAGTATTTGGGCTTTCGACTCTAGTGGAGCTTTCTTGATTTTTCATGGTAACGTTTTCTGAAAAAAGACAATATTTCTCGCTTGTTTTATAGGGTCGCAGGAGAAAGATATTACCAGATTTTCATTAGCAATTATACACAGCATAGCATTATTCATTAGCAGTTCCTTTAGAACCAGGCCCTTGCAAATCAATAAAAAAAAAAAGATTACTATACTCCCAGTTAAGGCCACGATCGTCGCAAAACATGAAAGTCTCTGGATCTTCGCTGGAAATCATATTGTCCAATAATTAGCCGATCCAGATTTTCTAAATTACCCTGTATTAAATAAAAATTAGAATGTAGATTTCAGAGGAATCACACCAATCACCCCCATTGACTTACGATGATTATTCTGAGCCGGCTCATTTCTACTCATTACTAGATAGACCGACAGATTTAATTTTTTCTACAAGCTCGGGTTGGATTCCTTCTAGGTTTCACCTTCTTATTGTTGGATTTCACCTTCTTATTCCCAGGTTTTTTAAAGCTGGTAGCTTTCCATGGTTCATCATCTGACTCGGATGTACTGGACTCAGATGATTCAGTCATAGCATCATATAGATAATAGATTTCTCGGCTAATGCTTTTAAGATTTTCATGTATTTTAGTTACATCACGTTC